GTAGAACAGGAGTCCCCCAGTAACACCTTCTGAGACCGACCCTCGAGGAATGACTGGAGCCACTGCAAGGCAGTACCTCCGAGACCCATTCCCGCGAGGCGTCTCAGAAGGATACCGTGGTCGACGGTATCGAAGGCCGCTGAGAGGTCGAGTAGCACTCATGATGTGCTACTCATCTTGGTAAGAAGAAATGACTGTGGAAAACATCCTTGTGGTCATCATACATTATAGAACTTGGAATGGCAGAAGTAGAGGAGGATCTCTCAACATTTTCAGAAACACTCTTAGCTGTTTTTTCTTTTATCCAGAAACTGGTTTCGTCTCCAGTTCTGATTCCCCATCCTTGCTTCTGGCGTTTCTATAGTCAAGGGTGTGTTTCTGTCTTTTCTATAGCCAGGCGAGTGTCAAATGCTTTTATTTGCCGCTCTGTTGAATGAAGGAGCCCTCTATCCCTGATTTATGCCCCTTGTCAGAATGCATTCTTTACACACTGCTTGGTTGAAAAGATCCCGTGCTGCTTTTTGCAAGACAAGATGGCTTTCACCTTCCTGTGTCAGCGCTTTTAAGCCCGCCAGATTCTGCCTTGCTCAACACTTTCCTGGTTTTTTCAGTTGGATGCAGAGGAGGCCCTAGTGCCTGCCCTGTATTTGTCACCAGCGGGGTGTACTTTTGCCCTTTTGTCCACTGGAGAAGAGGAGAAGCCTGCTTTGGAAACAATTGTATGGATGGGATGAGTTTGACATCTTGGTGCAAAATCCACTATCCTTTCTCCCATTTCTCCTTCTTGGGTCTGGAGACTTTTACAGGCATCTTGTACTCCATCTCTTTTGTAATGTGCTTTCCTTTTGATCGTTGTCAACAACAGTATGTGGCTCTTTTTGATCCTTGGGAATAGCTATCCTTGGTTCATTTTCTGTAGATAAGGAAGGACCCAAATACCCAGAGGGCACCAGATCCCATCTGATCTTGGAAGCTAAGCAATGTCAGTACATGGATGAGAGTCCATCAATGAATACCAGGTGATGTAGACTTTATTTCAGGGGAAGAAGCTGGTCAAATCACCTCTGAATATTCATTGTCCAAGAAAACCCCATGGAATCCCCATAAGTCAACAGGCGACACACAAAGACCAAGCACTCTCTGTGTCGTCCAAAAATGGCACTTAGGCTGTGGATGTAAACTTTTTGGAAATTTAACAATCATGGGGAAAACAATGGAAGCAACGTATAGTAAAAATCTGGTTGTAGCAATCCTGGCTTCGTGCCACCGATATTTCAGCATTCATTTCAGGAACCTTGATGACAAAAAACACTTTTCCCTTGTGGAGAGGAAATAACTGTGTTCCAATGTCCAACCCCTTATTGAGTGACTGGAATTTGCAGAATGAATGTCTTTGGCCATTCCCCTTGGCTCAACACTGATGCGAACAAAGAGAAGCAACCCTTGACAGCCCCTCTTGCTTTTTGGGACAGAGGTAGCCTTCCTGCAGGAACATTTAGGCCAAGCCCGCAGATCCCCCGTCCTTTTCACTTTGTGCCTCCTCCTTGTGCTCACAGCTGGCTGCTCAGCATTTTTCTGCCTGAAAGGGATCTATCTGGGTTGTCTGGTGGCTTGGAAAATCCCTCTGCCGCCTATCTAAATCTCTACTGCTGACCTACATCGGGGCTTGTTGTTCTACCTGCTGGAGCACCCATTTAGCCAGGCTACTCCCATTGATTTTCAGTTGGAAAAAGCCATCTGCCCTTTGGATGGGATGCCGGGGGGGGGGGGGGGACGGGTTCCTTTTCACCAGGGCTGTTTTCACCAAATTATGAGGCTTTGTTTCCTTCCAGCATTCACAGCCTCTCCCCCCCCCCCCCTTCAAATGACTTGGTCTCTGCAGGAGTCCTGCTTCAAGCCTCATGGGATGTTGAGCCAGAGACAGATCCAGAGGTTTCTCTGCTTCTCTTCTACTTTCTTCTTCCTCTTCCTCTTCTTCATCCTCCTCACTCTTGCCTCTGATCGCCTGCCTGTGAAGAAGTTTGAGCTGTGTCTCTTTCCTGAGTCAGGCAAACACTGTTGTCCTGGCCTAGCGTTAGGTTGGTTGGGCATATTGAGTTAGGCAAGGCAGCTTTTCCTGCAGAAGCTCATCATGGAGATAATTGTGCTGGCTTAAGAGGCAGCCCAAACCTGTGGTGAGAGGCGGCATTGCCCTGTTGCGCTCCAGAAGCAAATGGAAGGAGGCCAGGAAGGCCAGTGAGCACCAACCAAAGCAAAGTCTTCCTGGCCAGTGATTTCAGCTGGACTGAATGGCCTGAGGGCTCTTTGCTAATGAGTTGCATGGTCCCAGAGGGGATCTGGGGAGCAGCTGATAAACTGGCAGCCTTTGCTCTTCTTGCCACACACCATGCATCCCTGGCTCAAATCAGGGGACTAGTTCATAGTACGAAACAAGGAAACATCCATTTTCATAGCAGCATTTGATTTGGTCTCAGTGAGGCAACAACCAAGGTCTAAACTCACCATTTAAACCTTTGCCTTTTGTTTTTTATACCCATCAAGGAAACCTTTTCACTTGGGCAGTGAAGGCTTTGTCTCGAGGATAGCAGTAGGGAATTCAGTCTCAACATGGCAGGTGATTGAACAAAGAGCCATTCAAGGTGAAATTAATAGAAGCTCAACTTCTGAGGAAATGTGCACCCGTCTTTCTGTCTGGGGAGACACGTTGGGGGCCTGATATATTTGGGATCAATGGTACCAGCCCCTTAGAAACTGGCAGGGAGCATCTGCTGAGGACTAGGGGAAACGTCTTGAAAGGAGATAAGAGATTAAGGTGAGATAATAAGGATAAACTTCACACAGGGCACCGGTAACCTACAGAATGAGCTTCCGGCCTGATACAGCGATAGACACCAGCTTTATAAAGAGAGGAGGAGGCAGGGTTGTGGGTGGCTGATAGCCATGATGGCTGTTTTGCCCCTTGCATAGAGAGAGAGCCATGAGCAAAGTGTTGAGAGTGAGCCTTCTGAATTCATGGTGTTTCAGTTTTTTATCTTTGTTGCTGTTGATATTTATCTCCTGGGCTTTACAACTCTGTCTGCTGCAGGTGACCAGCCATTTAATTCAATCAACACAGAGAAATAGGTCCCAGCAGTAAGCCATGGGAAGAAGGAAAGTGTTTCAAAGCCACTGGATTTGCAGGATGGCAAAATGAAGTGGAAATAGGTTTGCTGCCAGGATAGCAATAGGTCACTGCCGGGTATTTCCCTCCTATAAAAATAGCAGGCACCTTTTCTGTTCAGCAGCTACAGACAGAATTACTGCACTTCATTCTAGCTTCATTCTGTCCATTCTTTGCCCTCAGATTCCAGGGACATGTTATTGCCTGATTTTAGTGACTTCCTGAGTTTATTTGTATGGTTTTGACCTCAGTTCTCCTTAGGGCAAACAGAGAACAACATACGTGGGGAAATTTACAGAGATGCTACCCACTGGTGTTTCTGCCTACAGGGAAGTGTTTTGATATGAGGAAGTCTTTCCCCCAAATCTGAGTCATTGATGGACAGGTCTTGTGGCCAGCAGAACAGGAGGAACCTGCTCAGTAGGGGCCCAATAAGGATGGGAGAGAGATCAGGTTATTGATAAACATGCCTCAAAAAGTGAACAATGTCTGTCCCTTCCCCAGAAAGAGGACAAGGATTAAGATCTAGTAAACAATAGGGAAAATCACCCGAGTTGTTTTTGAACCCATGCTCATGCCAGCAGTGCCTCCTAGGGACCAGGGCCATTTCTCTGCATGTCATGGTGGATGTTGATATCCACCATGAGGTATGGAGGTCATGATCCACTCTGATTTTCTTTCTCTTTCAGCTCTCTTTTGCTGTATCACTGCTAGGACTTGGGACCCTTCCCTTCCTTTCCCTCATAGCCTCTCTTGCAGTTCACTACCCTTCCTGTACTGCCCCCAACAGACCCTTGGCAGTAAAGTGGGAGCTCTTTGCTTCTGGTGTGAAGGTGAAGGAACATAACTTGGGCTCCAATGGAAGCCTCTCGCATATGTTGCACATGGTTGACCAAAGGGTTTGCGATGGCTGGAACTTTGAATGGGGAGAAGGCCAGTGTGCCACTCTCTGTAAATGAACTTGTGAGCATTTGTCCGTTATTGCTCTCCAAAGACTCTGGTTAGCTGGATGTGATATATGTAATGGCAGCTGGTCCTAGTTTGCTTAGAGCCAGCCCGGGTCGGAGTGAGCTTCCAGCCATTAGTCTAACTTGCTGTCGACCTATGCATCCTGAAAGACAGTTGCATCTGTCAGGTAGGAAATTTGCGTACCGCTTTATGTGGGAAAGCTAATTTAACTAATTTATGATGCCATAAAACCTTCCAGAAGAATGAGGAAATACTCCATCAAGGACTCGATGTCACAATGGATGGTGAGGTGGCAGCTCCCCCTGTGGCCGGAATCAAGCCAGAATCAAGCATACCCTCATGAAGCCGGAAAAGCTTGGACACAGCTGGAATGTTAAATTGCCTCTGTGTCTGTCTATATATGTTGTATGTCTAACTGGCATTGAATTTTTGCCATGTATATGTGCATTGTAATCTGCCCTGAGTCCCCTATGGGGCTAGAAGGGCAGAATATAAATACTGTAAATAAATAAAGAAATAAATAATACAGACCCGTTGGGTAAACTTTAAGCATATAGCAAGGACCACGCAATGGAGATAAGCCTTGTGCCCAGCTTAAGCATTGTTGAAGTAGAAACGGCAGAAAATCTTGTGGTATCGTCAAGTTGTATCTGAGGCATTAACACCAAATACAACTGGATTGCCTCAATCTCGAGAGGCAGGAGAGAATGCTTCTGGAACATGGCCATACAGCCCAGAAAACTCACAGCAACCCAATGATTCCAGCCATGAAAGCCTTCGACAACACAATCTAGAGAGTGTTTGGAGGGTGGGGGACATATACCTGGGGTCCATTGCCCCATCTCATCTCCTGTGCTCTCTCTTTCTGCAGAGCATTGTTTCCAAGAATGCCATGCAGTACCGAGGAAGCTCTCAGCACGATGCGCAGGAGTTCCTGCTCTGGCTCTTGGACCGAGTCCATGAAGACCTCAACAATATTGTGAAGAACAATGGCAGGCCTTCTCTCAAGGTAAGGCACTCTTCTTTCTTGTTTTCACTGAAGGAAGGCAAGACTCAGGAAGCTCTGGTGTTGCGGTGAACAACTGAGGGGATGAAAGTGTTGGGGATCCATCCAGAGACTGAGGCATTCCAGGCCCTGAGACAAAGCTACATCCCCCAGAGCTGCCCTGGTTGTTCCCTGGGTGGCATTCAGACCAAGAACTACCCTACCGGAGGCACTCTTCCTCTGCATGTGTGTATATGCTGGAAGCATGTATGTTTTTTGGCTAAGTACATATTAGGTGTAGCCATGAGACTAGAGGGCTGGTTTCTCCACCGGTCTTCCATGTGCTTAGCTCTGCCCCTTCTGTCACAGGGCACCACAGGTGTGACAATGACCCAGAGTGCACCTGGAGCCCCCCTCTGACAAAATGACTTTCTATTCCAGCCACCGGTGGAGGAAGACATCTTGATTGAGGGGACGGTGTTCCCCATCAACTGCACTTTTGTCCAGGAACTCTTTCAGGCCCAGTACAGGTATGGCGTGTGTCCCTTGGAGGGAAGCAACCGGGATCTGAATCTCACAGACTGTGACCATTAGGGAATCTCTTGCTGCTAGGATGAAGGCTGCGCTCATTCTCATCACATGGGAAGGGGACTGCCCTGCCTTGCCTTAAACAAAAGTTTCTGTGCCTGCCTTTTCTAGGTCATCTCTGACATGTCCCCATTGCCAGAAACAGAGCAACACCTTTGACCCCTTCCTGTGCATCTCCCTGCCGATCCCACTGCCTCACACGCGGTATGTATGTATCTATGGAAATGTGTAGGGCAGCTGTGGCAAAGGAACAAGGGAAATGGGTGGGAGTCTAGTCCAGACAGATGGCTCTGTGGGCCTTATGAGAGGTGGAAGCGGGAGTTTCCCTTTCTTCCATGTCTCCTTTGGTGGGTCTTTTAGAGGGACAAGTCTCCTGTGAGAACAGTGCAGGGTCTCCTGAGCATTGCTCCAGCCTCTCAAATGGTGTCCCTTTGCTCCCTTCCTGCAGGCCGCTGTACGTGACGGTGGTCTACCGAGGGAAGTGCTCCCACTGCATGCGCATCGGGGTGGCTGTGCCTTTGTCTGGGACGGTGGCAAGGCTGAGGGAAGCTGTGTCCCGAGAAACCAAAATCCCCACCAAACAGGTAATCAGTGGGATCGTGTCAGGAGGCAAAAGGGAAGCCTTCATGCCAGAGATTGTTAGGATGCAAATAAAAAGCCAAGTAGACAAGGTCACAATGCTCTTATACATATCTTTGATGGCAACTGTGCAGAGGTTGCCATATCTCAAGGACAGGTATGGTGGGAAAACAGTAATTCTCCTATAAGAAAAAGGGCTTTCTTAGCTTATAAAAAGGACCATGGAATTTGATGGAGCCATTCTGGGGGACCAACTGGGACCTGGCCTAGATCAAGTGCTGGATCTGCCCTAGTGATGCTGCTCTTCCCAAATTCTGGGACAGGCCTCTTGTGTTCCTGAAGACCTGAGAATCATTAGAAGAAAGACCTTGGTTGGATGCCCCACAAGGCGTCGGTGTGCGTTGCATCTAATGTCATCAGTGTCTATGTGATATATAGTGTTGTGCTTGGACATCACAGCTATTTGGGCAAGGCTCATTGGCTCCACTTTTTATTAACAAAAATGTGAGTCAAGCACTGAAAGGGTTAAATGGATTCCATGACTTAGCAAAAGTTGCAGTTCAATATAAATGGGTGTGCCTGTAGCTTAGTTGCCCTCAGTTTGTGAGAGGTCTCTGGGGAAGAAGGGCCTCAGTGTGTTAGTAGGCCTCAGTATGAGAATGCTTCAGTGTTAGTAGGCCTCAGTATGAGGTAAACCTCAGAGTTAGTAGGCCTCAGTGTGTAAGAGGCCTGGTGTGAGAAGGCTTTGGTGAGAGAAGCCCCAGGTTGAAGGCCTCGAGTGTAAAGCTCCAGTGTGAAGCTCCTGTGTAAATTTAGTGTGAGAAGAGGCTCTGTGAGAGCTAAGCTTTTTATCTGCATGAGAAAGAAGCCCTGTCTGGAAGCAAAGAAGGAAGTATAAACAACTTGATTTGTGTTATGGAAAACTTGATCTTATAAATAGTGCAACCATATTATTTTGCTAGAAAGAAATGCCTCCTAAGAAAGTGATAACATTGCTCTGTGTGTTTTTGTTCTTTTTACCACTTTTGGCTACTGGTGCTGGGTCACACTGCCACTAATACGTTACTCTGCTATATGTTTATGAGGAGGGTCTTTTGTTAACAAGCCCACTTGCCCAACACCCCTGACCTCCTCCCTGGCCTCCCCCAGATTGTGCTCACGGAGATGTACTATGACGGCTTCCACCGGTCCTTCTCCGACTTGGATGATCTTGATACGGTGCAAGAAAGTGACTGCATCTTCGCCTTCGAGACCCCCGAGATTTTCCGGCCGGAGGGCATCCTGAGCCAGAGAGGTTGGCACTCTGTGTGTGTGTTAGTGTGTATAGAGGGGAGGGCTTCTGTAGCCATGCCTTCTGCCCCACGAATCCCTGAGATGGTCGCTTGTTGGTTGACGCTGACCACAAAGTGTCTTCACCCTTCTCTAGGAATCCATGTGAACAGTAACCTGAACCACTTGAAATTTGGCCTCGACCCTCAGAGGGCCTCTCTCTATAGCCAGGGAAGCCCAGAGAACTCCAACACAAGGGCAATGGTTGCTGCGGCAAGTGACAAGCTTGTGGTCTTGGTGTGTAACAGAGCGTGCACCGGACAGCAGGGGAAGAGGTAAGCACTCCCTCCGCAGCACGGCCTTCATCCTATTATCCTTTGGGAAACTTCCAGAAAGGTGCTTTGATTTTATAGAGTCATAGAGATGCGAGGGACCACCACCCTCTTCTTTTCTTCTCTCAGACTGTTCCTACAGGAAAGAAGTTCCTCCTCATGTTTTGTAACATATTGTATGGTAATTTGAATCCGTTGGATTGTGTTGTTGCCGCTAAACCAGATTATATGAATCTGCACTGGGATATAATCCAGTTCAAAGCAGATAATCTAGACTTTATATGGCAGTGTAGAAGGAGCCTATGGTCCTTCTGGCTAAGTGTCAATGAGATTATCACCTCTTTGGTGCAAAGTATGGATCTTGGTGGTTCAAAATGCTTGCCTTGATGATGAAGATTCCCTGGTTCAAATTTGAATCCAGTACAAAGATTCCCTCCCTCCTCCTTTTTGATGCTCTTGGTGAGAGAAGTGCTGCCTCCTTCTCCATTAACGTCCTGGTGCTGGTGCCACTTTGGCAAGGAGCCCAGGGCCCAGATTCCGGGAAAGGCCTCGTCTCCTTGCTGGCAATGGAAAGCCAAAGGTGCCTCTTCCCTCCACACTATGTGCCGTAAACACAGCCTCACTTTGTTAGGGAGATGGGGGAAATCAGTCGATTTCCGTGAGAAGGAGCAAAGTTGAGATAGTGGCCACTCAGTGTTAGTCATCATTTCTAGAAAAGTCTTGGGTTGAGAAGGTCAATTTGCAGATAGCATAGAGCTGTTATCTTGAAAATCAGAAATCAGGCTTGGATGCTGAGCTGAAAATAGCAAGCAGAGATCAATGATATTTCCTGCACTTAGATTGAGAATTAAGGATGGGGGATAATGTCAACAACAACAACAAATACATATTAATGTGTCATGCTTCTTAAATTGTAATAATAATATTCATATTATTAACATGGCATGCTTCTTAAACTGTAATAATAATATTCACATTATTTACATGGCATGTTAAATTGTAATAACAGTAATAATATTCATATTAACATGGCGTGCTTCTTAAACTGTAATATAATAATAATAATAATAATAATAATAATAATAATAATAATAATAATAATAATATAACAACATGGCATGCTTCTTAAATTGTAATAAGGGAGCTCTGGCGTGGGCTGGTCCATGAGGTCACGAAGAGTCGGAGACGACTGAACGAATGAACAACAACAATATTCATATTATTAACATGGCATGCTTCCTAAATTGTAGTAATAATTATAGGCATATTATTAACATGGCATGCTTCTTAAACCGTAACAACAACAACAACAACAACAACAACATGGCATGTTTCTTAAATAGTAATAATATTAGTAATATTCATATTATTAACATGGCATGCTTCCTAAATTGTAGTAGTAGTAGTAGTAATAATAATAATAATAATAGGCATATTATTTACATGGCATGCTTCTTAAATCTTAATATTCATATTATTAACATGGCATGCTTCTTAAATTGTAATAACAATAATAATATTCATATTATTAGCATGGGATGTTTCTTAAACTGTAATAAAAATGATAATAATCATATTATTAACATGGTGTGTTTTTAAAATTGTATTGGTACCAACATAAGATGTAGTAATGCTAAAATGCAGTGGGATTTACTGCTTAGAAGGCCTGCATTGGCCCTACAGATTCAGAATATTGGAAAACTGTCATGAAAACTCCCCACATTGTTTTCAGCTCAGGCTTTGCTCTTGTTGGGTTACTTAGGAGGGAGGCCCTGTCTCTCCTTGGCTTGGGGTAAAGGTGGGCCGGTGCCTCTTGGTCCTTCAGTGGCCCTCATCTCCGCAGGTTTGGACAGCCCTTTGTGCTGCATGTCGAGAAGACAATCCCGTGGGACCTCCTCCAGAAGGAGATCTTGGAGAAGATGCAGTACTTCCTGCGCCCCTCCGCCTGCCTTCAGGTAAGGAAGAGGCAGTCTAGAAGGGGCTCCTTAACACACCTGTCTTTTGCATGCAGGGAATGTGGGAGTAATGCTTTGCAGATTGCATTCTGTTCATCTTAGTGTGTGAGAGAGGCATACATACCATGTCTTACATTCACCAAAGAACACGTGTAAGGTTTAGAGTCCATTTCATAGAGCTTCCAAAGAAGGCTCTATGCCAAGAAGGTTTCTTCATGGGCAGCAACCTGTCTCCTGCTTTCTGTGTCTCCAGGATCCCTTGCTGAGTGTCTTTTCTTCCCATGTATTCCCTGCAGGTGTGTCCCTTCAGCCTGCGGGTGGTCAGTGCGGTGGGCATCACCTACCTGCTGCCTCAAGAAGAGCGGCCTCTCTGCCACTTGATGGTGGAACGGTGAGCACAGGTTTCCTTTGGGGCGAGGCCTGGGACTGCCTTCAGTGGGGTAGGAGCTCATCTATCCATCTCTTCTTTCATGACTCTGCTTTGTGTTCTTTGAAGCTGAGTAAATAAAAGGAGTCTGGCCATCTCTCTCTCAAACTGCCTCTGAAGTCTGACCCTGGCTCCTCTTTATGAAATACTACCCACAGTGGCCTGAGGTTTTTGTCCCCAGTGGGGTTCCTACCCAAATGCGTATATACAGGGGCAACAATGGCCAATGCAGAAAAATACGACTATATACAAAATCTGTAAAACAGTAGTACATTTATTGGGCTGACTAAAAGGCACAGAATGCATTATGTGAAGCTTCACTGTTTTCTGCATCAGGCAAAATTGTTGATGCCTACATTTTGCCTCAAGTGTTACTTCTGTTGTCAGTTGAGGTGGTTCAGGGGCATCTCAATGCAGGCAGAGATTATTTTTCTTCTGTGGGAACAAAGGTCGAAATCGACATAGTATTTGGCCAAGAAGGGGAATGGCGTCTGCCTGTCTTGGGGGTCCAGTAGAGGTGCTTCTGTTCTGTGGGTGTTGTGTTTGTACAACAGAGAGGCAAGAGGTGGAACAAGAGAGATAATTGTGGAATGTCCTGCAGTGTCTTTTGGGGACCATTTGGTGAGCTGAGCGTTTCTCCCCACAGAGCTCTGAAATCTTGTGGCCAAGGCGGGACCCCTCACGTGAAGCTGGTGGTCGAGTGGGACAAAGAGACAAAAGACTAGTAAGACCCCTGATTTTTGGAGCATGATGGTGGTGGCCGGGGGAGGGGGGCTTCCAGCAAGTCCTATAGGGCAGCAGCAGGTTTGGGCTCAAAGCCTACTTTGCCAGTTTGCCTTGGCCTCACTTTCCTGAAGGATTGCCAGTGGAGTTTGGAGGTGAAGGTTGCTGCCTCCCAGCTTTGGAGCTGGATGCCAAGCACAAGCAGTTTAGCAGAATCATAACAACAACAACAACAACAGGATTTAAAGATCGAACTGCAAAGATTCTGGCACAAGCCATTAAAGGTGGTCCCAGTGGTGATCAGCACACTGGGTGCAGTGCCTAAAGACCTTGGCCTGCACTTAAAAACAATTGGCGTGGACAAAATTACCACCTGCCATCTGCAAAAGGCCACCCTACTAGGATCTGCCCACATTATTTGCCGATGCATCATACAGTCCTAGACACTTGGGAAGTGTCAGACGTGTGATTGAATACAAGAGTCAGCATAGTTATCTTGTTTGCTGTGTACTCATCTTGTTGTTTATCAAATAATAATAATAATAATGATAATAATAATAATAGGATTGCTCTCCCAGGGAGCTGCAAAGTCAGGCTTGGCTTGTTTCCAGTTCCCAGTCAATGTATGGTGGCTGCATGGATATTTGGGGGGGGGGGGGGTGGCAATGGACACTTAGTGGTGGGCTGCCTTCCTCTGGGATGCCTTGGGCCCACAATGCCTCCTTTCCTTTCCTTCTTGTAGCCTGTTTGTGAGCACGGAGGAGGAGTACATCCCAGATGCGGAGAGTGTGCGCCAGCAGAGGGAGCTCCATCACCAGCCACAGACCTGCACTTTGTCCCAGTGCTTCCAGCTCTACACCAAAGAGGAACAGGTGAGAAATGCCAGGCCCATTGACTCCCCCCCCCCCCCCCCCGCATCTTCTGTAGTGTTGCTTAAATGGCCGTAGGGCTTTCCCACAAAAGAAAATATGGTGCCATTGATTATTTAGTGGGACAAAAGGGTCAACTAGTTGTGCAGACTCTGTTTCTCCTCCCCTTGAAACTGGACTGATAAGTGGTGTATGGAGTTGAATGTAAAGCTGAAGGTGCCACTTCGGCAAAAGGGAAGTTCAAACTGTTGCTGTTTAGGTTCTACTCCTTTAAGGTATGTATCTTTTTTTAAGTGTTCTTTCAGATTTTGCAGTTTTTCCTTAAATACAAGGGAAGTATATGCCGTTCTGGTTATGTTATTAATTCAATGAAAAAAATTCTGCATGAAGCTTCTGCATATATATGTATATATGTATGTATGTGTGCACCTTGTGCCTGAGAGCACCATGCTCTTTGCCTCCAGCTGGCTCCAGATGACGCCTGGCGCTGCCCGCACTGCAAGCAGCTTCAGCAGGGAAGCATCACACTGAGCCTGTGGACCTTGCCGGATGTCCTCATCATCCACCTGAAGCGCTTCCGGCAGGTGAGGGAGGCCTAGCAGGGCAGGAAACCAAACTCGGTGGAGTCCCTGGCGCTGCCATTGGTTACGACATGTGCTTCCTCCCCCGCTCCAAACAGGAAGGCGAGAGGAGGATGAAGCTGCAGAACATGGTGCGCTTCCCACTGTCGGGCCTGGACATGACACCGCACGTGGTCAAGCGGAGCCAGAGCTCCTGGAGCCTGCCCTCCCACTGGTCCCCCTGGCGGCGGCCTTATGGCCTGGGCAGGGACCCTGAGGATTTTGTCTACGACCTCTATGCCGTCTGCAACCACCACGGCACCATGCAAGGCGGGCACTACACAGGTGACCACAGAGATGAACCCTTCCAGTGGAGGCTGGCCATGTGGATGTGGGCGTGTGTGGGCAGGGACCCTGTTTCTGAGCCCTTGTCTTCCCGTTCCAGCATACTGCAAGAACTCCATTGATGGTCTCTGGTACTGCTTTGATGATAGCGAGGTTCAGCAGCTGGCGGAGAACGAGGTCTGCAAGCAGACGGCCTACATCCTCTTCTACCAGAGGCGCACTGCTATCCCCTCCTGGTCAGCCAACAGCTCCGTGGCAGGTGAGGGCTTCCCTGGTTGGACAGCCTGCGGGCTTTGGGGGGCAATGGAAGATATTCCCCTAAATGGACAGAAGTGAATTTGCCCGGTTCTCCTCGGACCCTGTTGAATTTCCACGGAGCCTTTTCTCACTTTCCTCAGGACCTTTTCACTACCTGTCACTTACGTAGAGCTTCAGAAGAGCCTTTGCAGATTCAGATCTTGCTGCTGTTGGCCAACTCAGTGCTTCTTAAGCTGCCCAATACAGAGGGGCAACATCTTTGACCACTTTTGTCAGGGACCAGTATTTGTGGCCCTTTGCTAAAATTGTGTCTTTCTCTCCTGGAAGCAAGAATGTCCTTGTCACACAGTGGAATATGGTCTGAACTCTAAGGAGAGCAGGAGCATTTCTTTTCTTGGCCTTGGACAGGGCCAGTACACTGTTGCCCATAGCAAAGGTGTTGCTGTGTGCTGAGGAGGGCCACAAAACCATGTGAAATTTACACATGTGAAAACATGTATCTGCATTAGAGGAATACATAGAACTGAGTTCCTATCCAAGTCACTGCAAAAGTATCTCTCACGTAAAATCCACATGTTGCCCAGATGACCGGCTGGTGCAGATCTCGCCCTGGGACCACTGCCCAGACAGATCTCCTTTCCCCCCTCTCTCCCTCTTTCAAAATCAGGGCCCGGCAGCAGAAATCTGTTCTCTGCCTTGATTTGTGTGTGTGTGTGAGAGAGAGATGGGGGACTTGAGAAACTGCAAGTCGTTTCTGGTGTGATATAATTGGCTGTCTGCAGGGACGTTGCCCAGGGAACACCTGGATGCTTACCATCCTGTGGGAGGCTTCTCTCATGTCCTCTCATGGGAAGCTGGTGCTGACAGATAGGAGCTCACCTCGCTCCACGGATTTGAACCGCCAACCTTTTGGTCAGCAGTCCTGCTGACACAAGGGTTTAACCCATTGCATCACTTGGGGCTCCTCTTTGCCTTGGGTTTTGTGTGTGTGTCAGGAGCGACTTGAGAAACTGCAACTTGCTGCTTGTGTGATGGAATTGGCCGTTTGCAAGGATGTTGCCCGAGGAACGCCTGAATGTTTTATCATCCTGTGGGATGCTTCTCTCATGTCCCTGAATGAGAAGCTGGAGCTGACAGATGGGAGCTCACCTTCCTCCACGGATTTGAACCACCAACCTTTTGGTCATCAGTCCTGCCCATACAAGGGTTTACCCCATTGCACCACTGGGGGCTGTTCTCTGCCTTGGTGTTTTGCGTTTCCTCTGAGACTGGCACTGATGAATTCTCTCCTTCACCCTGGTTTCCCTCCTCTTTCTGCCTCATACCTTAGTGGGCTTCTCTCTCTCCAAACCCTCCCCAATAGATTCCCTTGTAATGCAGTTCAACTGGCTTGTGGTCATTGCCTCTGTGTGTGTGTGTCACTGCTAAATGTCCCAAGGCTCAGAAGGGCCCTGATGTCCACAGCTAGTGGTGCCCTTGGTCCCTGTAGCCTCTTCCTCCGGCACAACCCCCTGCCCTCCCGCCTAACCCTAACCCCTTCGGCACCCGCCGTAGCCTGACCCCGGCGCCCTTCTTCTCCTTCCTCTGCAGGATCCACAAGCTCCTCCTTGTGTGAGCACTGGGTCAGCCGGCTCCCCGGGAGCAAGCAGCCCAGCATCGCCTCGGCCGCCTCCTCCCGACGCACCTCCCTGGCCTCCCTCTCGGAGTCTGTGGAGCTGATGGGGGAGAGGAGCGAAGACGACGGTGAGGAGATGAATGGGGGGTGTGGGGTGTGTGACTGGGCCTGGTCTGTGTGAAGATGGGGGGCTCTTGGCATGAGGAAGCAGGAGTCAGGAAACAAAGATGGCTGCCTCCTCAGCCCCTTGGGAAGAGGGCTCTCTTAGACAAGAGAAGCAGTGAGAAGGAGTCATCACTGGCTCCTTCTCCTCCTTTGTTGCTCTTCATTTCTCATAGACCATATCTGTTCTCAGTGATGTTCAGAGCAAGTGCCCCCTTAATCATGGGTCTCACTTTTCTCTTGTTGTACCTTCATCATCATACCTGGCTCACCCCATACAAGTGGGAGGAGGACGTTCCAGCTGGTGTGAAAGAATTGGCCGTCTGCAAGGATGTTGCTCAGGGAACACCCGGATGTTTACCATCCTGTGGGAGGCTTCTCTCATGTCCCCGCATCGGAAGCTGGAGCTGACAGCTCACCTCTGTGCCTCTTGAACATTACTTTGGCCTCTGCTGCTTTTGCTTTGGCCACAGGCAGCAGTTTCTCTTGTATCCTTATTTTATTTACATCACACCTTGCACTTGGAACAGGACCCGATTCGGTTCTCAACATAAGTTAAATGCAGTTAGTGTTAGGGAAAACAGCAGAGCAGCCAAAAACAAACAGAATGCAAAAGTTGAGCATCGGCTCATTAGTGAGCAGAGCATGAAATGCCATGTGATGTGGCTGTAAAGAATGCAGAGCTTAGGAGGCAACATGCAGAGTCCAATCTTAAAAATCAAAGTCAAAAGGTTTATTTACAATAAGAAATAACTGCATTTCTTAATAATCAAGAGCTGGATCTGAACTACTCTAACCCCCATCTCTTCTAAGATTTCAAGAGAGGGAAAATCATCCAAGCACGACATCTCTCCTGACACACAAGCAGAGAGATATCTCAAAGCACACAGCACATACTCTCCATACTAAAAGTGTAAGGAGGCAGACGTCAGATTCAAAAAGGCTTGCCGTAGAAAAGTATCCATTCAAAACAACCAATCAGAATGAGAGTAGAAAAAGAAACGAGAGAAGAAAAAAATTCATTCCCAACTATCATTCAGAAGACGGGGGAAGGGAAAACTTTTATACTAAGCTAACTAAACTTTTCCTCCTTGAGGACTTGAGACTTGGGCAGCGTGGGGAAGTATGGGGTTGAATTTCAACAGTTAGAAGAGTTAAATCCATGGACATACTAATAATGGTAAAAGAGTTAAGACAATAACAATAAGAATTAAAAGCAGCACCCTCCCATTAAAATAACAATCATGGGCTTGGCAACATAAGAAGGCCTTCCTTTGCCTGTTGAGCTTTTTGAATTTTTTAAGCTTAGTAGATCTCTTTTTCCATACAGAGCTTAAAGTGTTCAGTGTAGTTCCTCAAGCTGAATGTTGGTCTGAGGGAAAAGAGGGAGGAACGCATGTTTTGCCTCTGTGTAGTGTGTGTTCCTCCCCCATCTTACTCTTCCTTTGCCTTCTGCAGGTGGCTTCTCCACTCGGCCCTTTGTGAGGAGCGTCCAGCGCCAGAGCTGCTCCTCCCGCTCCTCGGTGACCAGCCCGTTGGCCGTGAGCGAGAACGGCATCCGCCCCTCCTGGTCACTCTCGGCCAAGCTGCAGATGCGCTCCCACTCGCCCTCGCGCTTCCCAGGAGACTCTCCAGTCCATGGCTCGGCCTCCACTTTGGAGCGCATCGGGGAGTCTGTGGGCCATAAGGTCTCCACCTCCTGCTTTGGCAGCCTGAGGAGCCTCTCTGGGAGCCACCTGGAGCCCAGCAGCAACAGCGGAGGTGGCCACCGGGAGCACCGAACTCTTGGCCGCGCTCCCCTGGCAGTCATGGAGGGCGTCTTCCGGGACGAGCCTCCGGTGCGCAAAGCGAGTGCAGACTACCACAGCAAGGCCGAGAGGAACGGCCCTGCCCTGGACCCCTTCGACAACAACAATCAGATCGCCTTTGTTGACCAGAGCGATTCTGTTGAAAGTTCTCCAGTCAAGGAGGGGAGGAGCTTCCCTTCTGCAAAGCCAGAGGATGCCCCATCAAAAACCGCTCCCTCCAAACATGCCTCGGAACCAGAAAAGAGCAACAGGAAAGGGAGGGCAACCTCATCCAGCCAGGACTCCCAGAAGCCGCGCCAGTCAGCCGGCTCATCCCCTCCTCCCTCTAAAGGTTTGCGCTCCCGGAACAGGCCAGAATCCTCCAGGACAAGCGGGCGGCATGGCTCCTCCACCTCAGGGCAGGGCCGGAAGGAGTCCAAGGCCCACGACATAAATACTGGACCCTCTTCGCAGCAGCAAAGGCAGAAGTCTTTCTCTTCCTCCTCCGCCGCAAGAAGAAATTCGGGTTCCTCAACGCGGGGCCATGCTCCCTCCGCCAAGGGCAGGACTTCTGATCGCAGCCTCAGCCGAGAGGGCTCCAAGCTCAGCCTGGCCTCCGACAAGGCCAGTGCCACCACCGGCTCCCGGACCAGCTCCCCACGGATTGGCCAGTCGCGTGGCGGCAGCAGCAGCAGCGAGGGCCGGACGACGGACGGGAGGCAGGTGCGCAGCTCCTCTATGGCCAGCCTCCGCTCACCCACTACCGGGCCACGCTCCAGCCTCAAGAGGGACAGCAAGTCAGAGGAGAAGGGCCTCTCCTTCTTCAAATCAGCCCTGCGCCAGAAGGAGACCCGCCGCTCAGCTGACCTGGGCAAAACCACCCTGCTCTCCAAGAAGGCGGCGGCAGCGGGAAAGAACCTCCCCGAGGAGAAGGCGGAGAGGAGGGGGGCCCATCCACCGCTGGCGTCAGATCGCCCCAATGCCAGCACCGCCGGGTCTAAGGAGGCTTCGCCCGCCAAACATGCGCTGCACCTGAACCACCACCGGAAATCCAAGTCTTCCCCGTTGGAGGCCACTTCCGCGTCGGCCAGCCCCCGCAAGCCCCCCGCCAGCACCCCTGCCTCTGCACGGCCCCCCGCCAAGGCTCAGTGAGCCTCCAACCTCTCAACGCTGATGCCAATGCCAATGCTAATGCCGCTGCCGGGCTGGTTCCACACCTCCCCTCCCCTCGGGCTTTGCATCCTCTGTGTTGTCCTTGGCTCACGTGCCTCACCTATCGGGAGATGTCTTTACTACTACTGTCCAAGCGCCTTCTGACTCCGCCATCATACCAAATACCTACAGGGCAACCTCCCCTGCAGCTGGCTCTTGTTGTTGTGGGAGGGAAGGAGGGAGGAGGTAGGGAGGGGGGGTTGCCACCAAAGGACACAGCACCCCCTCCCCTTTGCCCCTGCTGCTTCTGCGCTAGCCCTGTGTCACCCTGTACAGAAGCAGCCCTTTGAGGGAACCAAGCCCCTTTTGCTTTGAGTGTCACCCTGGGCCTCCGCTGCTGCTACTGCTGCGTGGCCTTTGTCTCTGGTGGCCCCCCCTTTGCCCCATGCCCCCAACCCCCCAATCTCCCCGCTTCTTAAGGGCAATATCTCAACGCTAATGTTGTTTCTCAGGTAAACGCTCAGCCAGAAATGGAGGGAATGGAAGACGCTGGGAAAAAGGTGCATTCTCTCTCATAGAGGGGTGTCGTCTGTCTTTTGGGATTTTCTTCTTTTTCATTCCAGCAGGATTTGTGGTTTTTTTTTCTTTTCTTTTTCTATTAGTTTTTTTGCCTCCTTTTCTGTTCTGTACTTTAGTGTTGCACTGAGGAAAGGAGGGAGGGAAGGTGGGCGGGGGGCAGCCAATAAATTGGGGATCAGGAGGTGGGGAGGAGGTCATTTAGGCCAAAATGAGTCTGTCTTGTGTGTCTCTTCCATCCTGAATCTTTAACACAAACACAGAGAACTGCCCATCTTTCCTGTCCTCCTTTGTGAGCCTTTCTGGCCAAGATGGACTCTGTTCCTCTTTGGGGTGGGAGGGAGCTTTTCTATTTTTGTTGTGGGTCCTAGCAGGAACTAGGCTTCTCAGAGTCTCTTTTCCTCATTCTCTCTTGCTCATCCTCATCCACTTCTGCCTTTATTTTGTGTGACTTCAGCAGCAATGGTTCATCCTGCGGCCTGCTTTTTAAGGTTAGCACCATCCCTGGACTCACTGGGAGGTGCATGACCTGTCTGGACACTGGGCCAAGGTTTGCTGTCTGGACAAGGTCTGTCTGGACACTTCCGGCCAAGGTTTGCTCCCTCTTCCTTCCTCCCTCCCTCCCTCCCTCCCTCCCTCCCTCCCTCCCTCCCTCCCTCCCTCCCTCCCTCCCTCCCTTCCTTCCTTTGCTCCTGCTGCCTGCCTGCCTCCATTGGGCCTGGGAGGGAATCCTCCTGTCTTCTCCTCTGCTTTGTCCTTTCTATGGCCGTTGTGCTCCATCCCAAGGCAGTAGTAAAGGTAAAGGTTTTCCCCTGACATTAAGTCCAGTTGTGTCCGACTCTAGGGGTTGGTGCTCATCTCCATTTCTAAGCCAAAGAGCTGGCATTGTCCTAGACACCTCCTGCCCCACAAAGTATGGAGAAACTCAGTGGAAGGATCCAGTCATCAGGATCCTTAACAGAGGCAACTCTGGGCAATTCTCCCGAGATTCTTGACATATATTGTATGCTTTCCGCAGCCTAAGTCCTCTAAAGGCCCCAGGTCCCATCTGGGAAGCTAAGAGGAGCCTGCCAACAAACACCGCAGACCATATTTGGGAGAAAGGAACAAACTTTGAGCATTCCTTGCCTAAGAAAACCCTATGAAAAAGACCCGTGTGGTTGCTATGAAGGTCTTACAAAGGTGCTGCTTAGCATAAGTGTGAATGTGAGTGTTACCTGTGGCAAGGAAACACCTTGCTTCAGCCTAAGTCTCTCTGATGCCACTGCATTGGATTGATGGCTCAGTTAGTGAGTCTCTGGCTGCCTTCCCTTGCTTGTTGGCTGCAGCTGGGCTTCTACGCATGGCCAGCCATAGCCCCTCCCCTACAAAAGACACACTGGAGGCCAGCATGTGTGGCTCTGCCCCAGACCCCCCTTCTCTCCATTCCAGCGCATGCCCATGTTAACTATGCAAGCATCTCTCGCAAGGCCAGAGGAGGCGGAGGGCTGATGTGGGCCGAGACCACATCAGGGGAACCCCACTCAGTCCCAGTTGCTTCTCGCTTCGGTTGGCTCCTTGTCCTTTGGAAGGATTTGCGCAGGAACCCCCAAATCTTGGTGCAGCTCCTTGTTTACTTCTGAAGGGGGCAATCCATTCGCCTCTTCTGATGCGTTTCTCTTGTGCGGATTTTCTCTTCCGCTCAACTCCTGTTCTGGAAATGGGCTTGTTTCTCCTTTCGGACAGCAATGAAGGGGAGCCTCTTTTGCTTCTGTCCTGAAAATAGGTCTTGGTCCAGAGGCTGGGGCCCTCTTCTTCTGGGGAGGAGGCCTATGGTGAGCCCTTGGTTGCCAAATGCTTTAGGGCCGCCAGGAGATATGGGGGGGGGGGGGGGGCTTTCCTTTCCAAGCGTGAGGCCTGGCTCCCTTGGTTATCCATGGGGTGTCCCTGGTGCCTTTGCTTTTCTGCACCGAAAGGTGCTCCGCTTCATGCCCCGGAAGCCATCTTTGACCTGTAGATCCACAGCCTTCATCTGCAAAGGCTACGGAGATGGAAGTTCCACCTCACCTTCCTTAATGGAACAAGTGGGAGTTGCGTTTAATGGAATCAAGGGTGACAATGTCCGAACCGGAGGCATTTAGGCCCCTGATTTGGAGTGCCGTTTGGAAGCCCTTCCGAGTGTGTTTTGTCGTGGCTTCAGGGGTTCATTTTGGGTTGGCTGCTTACCAGCGGTGCCTCACCTTTGGCTAGAACTGCATTTCCGGCCCCCCTTTTGAAACTGAGCCTGAAGCACTGGATCATCCACCACTCTGCTCTGCTGCTGGGGAGGAGCCGCACGTTTTTCTCAAAACCCTGTTTCTTCCGCCTTGCCTTCCTCCCTTTGCGCTCCCTTTGATATCGCTATTTCAGTGTTTTTTAACTCTATACAATATTCTTGGAGGGAGCCCCCCCCCAATCTCTCTCTCTCTCTCTCTCTCTCTCTCTTTGGGGTGGATCCATTGTACCATAAAAGAGGGCCGTTTTAACTTATTCCACGAGGGAAAGTGCATGAGACTGTGTCAATGCCTTTTATTTATTTGTATGCACTTTTAATATGCAGAATTTATATTTTTATGTTTTAAAAAAAGAAATCATTTCCTTTCAGAAAGAGGAGTTTGGATACAAGGTATGGGATGATTACCAGTGGAAAATGTAATAAAGTACAATAAATTTATTACAAGCCGACCGGTGCCTGTGAGTGAGTTTCTTCCCGCTGCCATTTGACCCATCACTTTGCTCTGGCCCTCGGCCCACCCTCTATTGAGAAGTATAGTCCTTAACCCCAATATATGTATTATCCAATTTGGAGATTTGGAGGTAAGTCCATAGTCATTCTCCCTGAGGCTCCTTCCACATCTCTTCATTATTTATTATTATTTTGAGCAGTTATATCCCGCCCTTCTCGCCACCGAAGAGGGACTCAACAGGCAGCCATTAAATGCCAACACAATACATTAAAAATCATAATTACAATTAACACAGTTAAAACAGTTATAAAGATTCAATTAAAAACAGTTTGCTGGTTCAAAATCATAATCCAGATCCAATAAGGAAGATCTTATTGAGAATTAGAGCTGTTTTCCTGAGTGGAGTCCCCTTCTCTGACGTTTTCAAAGCAGAGATTGGATGGCCATCTGTTGGGAGGGATTGGATTGTGTCCTTCCTGGTAGAAGGTGGCTGGACTGGATGACCTTTGGGGTCTCCTCCAACTCTAGGAATCAATAATAAATGGTGGCAATGGCATCTCATTCTCTGGAGGTTTCCAAGCAGAGACTAGATGGTCTGTCGGGAGAGATTGCATGACATCCCTGGCAGAAGAGGGCTGGACTAGAGGGCCTTTAGGGGTTTCTTCCAACTCTTAAGATCCTATGATTCTACACCACATGAATCTATTTCCTACTTGTGTAGGCAAGGTTTTCAAAATATTTTCCCTGTGGATGTTTCCTTTGGGAGAAAGGGGTTGGACTGGATGGCCTTTGGAGGCCCTTCCAGCTCTTTGAAACATGATGAGCAAGAATTCTAGTTCCCCAGAATGTGGGAGGAAAAAAAGTAAAACGGGGTTGACATAAAACAAAAAAGACCCTGCTGCTCAGGACCTGTTTCATTCAGAGGTGGGAGAGTGCGTGCCTTTCTACTTTCTGAAAAATCCTCTGGTCTGGATCGAAGCTGTTGTTTATGTCCTACTATTTTTGCATCTCTCCTAATAGAAAGGGACTCCCTTTTTTGTTACTGTGTTATTGCGTTAGCAGGAGACGGTCAAAAGGTCTAAGCAAATATGACTTCTTTGAGTGTGAACTGAGGCTGGTGCACTGCCATTTGCTCGCTCCTTCCTTCCTTCCTTCCTTCCTTCCTTCCTTCCTTCCTTCCTTCCTTCCTTCCTTCCTTCCTCCCTCCCTCCCTCCCTCCCTCCCTCCCTCCCTCTTCCTTTCCTTCCTTCCTCCCTCCCTCCCTCCTCCCTCCTTTCCTTCCTTCCTCCTTCCCTTCCTTCCTCCCTCCCTCCTTCTTTCCTCTCCTTCTTCTTCCCTCCCTCCCTATTTCCTTCCTTCCTTTTCCCCTTCTTCTTTCTTCCCTTCCCTTCCTTCCTTCTTCCCTCCTTTCTTTCCTCCCTCCTCCCTCCCTTCCTTCCTTCCTTCTTCCTTCCTTCCTTCCTTCTTCCTTCCTTCCTTCCTTCCTTCTTTTCCTTCTTTTTTTCCTCCCTCCCTTCTTTTCTTCTTTCCTTCCTTCCTTCCTTCTCCTTGGCAGCCAATGCAACATGGACCCAAGCCCCCTCTGTTCCCTCCCTCTTTTATCTATCGTATAAAACAGCCGTGACGGATGTCATATTAAAAGTGCAAGGCCATCATTTATTTATAGGCGATTGGATTACAGCTATATTAATCCTGCCTCGGGCCAGACCAAATTAGAGCTAATATAGTTTTATTGTTTGTTACAGCGGCCAATATTTTTCCAATTTTGGTGAGGTTTTATGGCTGCAGGAGCCGGAAAGGGGGTGTGGGGCACAGATGGGTTCCCAATGGTGTCTTGCATTGGCACCAGTGTCTCCTATTGCTGTGTGCAAAATATGCAATGCAGGGGATCGGTCTCAGTCGCTAGAAAGGGTTAAGGGGTTGCAGACTCAAGTTGGACCAGTGTGTTTGTGACCCATCTGAGAGTAGTATTGGAAGGACTTGTCTCTCTTCACACATCATTTTGGGGATGGGAACGAACTGTCCTGGGCATCTCCTTTATTTATCAGTGTGCTGGCACCATCTCTGGGACAGTTTAAGGGACATCTTTTTTTATGGGACTCACTACCTGGGAATGCCTTCCCAGCTGCAGAAGGCGATTCTGGGAATGTCTCCTTCTAGGGTAGGGATGGGAATTGCACATCTCTCCTCCAAATAGGGTTGGACCAAGCCATTGGCGAGGAATGTTAGAGCAGTGTTTCTCAACCTTCCTCATGCTACAGCCCCTTAATCCAGTTCCTCATATTGTGGTGACCCTCAACCATAACATTATTTTTGTTGCTACTTCATAACTGTAATGTTTTAATTGGGCCAAATTTCCCACACAGGACCCCCATGACTAACAGAAAATACTGTGTTTTCTGATGGTCTTTGACGACCTCTCTGACAACCCTTTGCGACCCCCCAAGGGGTCCTGACCCTCAGGTTGCAAAACACTGTGCTAGAGGATGCGGCCTTGTTGCATCTTGCAAGCCATGATTCCCACTTTGAGGGGTGATTGAGTGCCCATGGTGAATGAACTGGATGGTTGCTTCCTTTCCCTTCCATAATTTTCGGTGGGCCGTGTCGCAGGCTCTTCTCCTTTGGGGGACTCTCCTTTGAGATTGGCTGGATGTCTTTCCGGAGTGCTGTAGTTGTGCCTTCTTGGGGTTGGACTAGATGGGCCTTGGGGCCCCTTCTGGCTCTCCCTGTGGGGAAGAAAGGGACCTATGCCTCCCTCTCTGTGATCCGGAGCATTAAGGCCAGGCGGCTGCCCATCCATTACCTGTCGTTTAGTGGCGGCTGCCACAGGCTCCGCTTGGCCTCTTAAATCCTGGCCTAATTAGCAGCCTTCTTTCTCTTTCTCAGCACTTTCCTCCCGGCTGGGGATCGATCCCTCCT